GGGGTGTGGCTTGGTCTCCCTGGGCAGGCAGAGGAGACTGCACAGAGAAGCAGACAGAAGTCTGTGACAGCCAGCACCAGGTCCCAGAGGCCGTTTGGTCCACACCGTGTGACGGCAGAGTTTCACAGTCCACAGACCCCATCTATCCCTTTTGACCCTTTACAGACTCTCCAGTGCACTTTTACTGTCCTCAGCCACATCGAAAGGCAGAGTGGGCAACGAGGGCAGAGAGACGCGAGCAAAGGACAAGGCGACAACCTGTAGATTTCTCCTAAATCTTTGCTACTCTGCCACAGCAAAGAAACAGCAAGTTTCTGTTTCCACAGCAACTACCTTCACCTCTTGCACGCACACAAAAAGCCACAGCATTATGACTAGCTCCTGGACCACCTTTCTGTGCCCTGCCTGCCAAATACAGATCAGTTAGAAAACTGGAATAATTGCACAAAATCAGTTTCTTTGGCTTGGTGATGAAACAGCACATATAACATCTTCAATAGGAGAATAACACCCACACAGCTGCAGGTAATGCCACCTGCAGAAGCGAGTGGCCACCCTTCTCAGCAGCATCCTGCATGGGGCATATCTCCCTGACAGCCCTCGTGACGTGCTCATAGGTCAAACTAACCTACCCGTGGCTGAGACAGGACATATATCGACACGCATTTGGCTCCGCATCAACCTGCCCCGGGATTCCCTAGCCCCAAAGCCTCTGCTGGCCCTTCAGTCACCAGCCACACAGCTTTTCTCTGGGCTTTACCCTCAGTGGTGATTAGCCACCCTGAGGCTTGCTATTCAGCGCCAGCCCGGGCGAGATCGTGACTCTTGAATCCAGTGCTCTGTTGTGGACGCCAGCGTCCATACTGTGCGCAGTTTTTGTTTGCACAAAACCTGCTTTTCCATCCGTTCCCTGACGCAAACGGCCTGCAGTCTGCCTCTCTGTTGGCTCAGTTGAGTCACACTGTGCCTGGGCAGGGGGGTCAGTGCACACTGCTTGCACAATAAATAGTTTGTGCAGGTGCTGGCCATGCACGGCTTGTTCCTTCAGAGGCAAACATAGCACACCCCTGGGTTATGTTGCTACGCTGGGGAAAATATACAGTGCAACACCTTATAAGGCTCTGGCCTGTCTGCATTCCCCACTCAGGGTGCAAGACGCTAGAGGGGAAAAACAGAAAGGGGGTGGGGAAAAGGACCGAGAGAATGACACGGCCAACGTACCTCGTAGTATTTGCCATCTGAGTAGCAGCCACAGTTGTGGGGAAGGATGCAGCTCTTGCCGTTCAGGACGTACCCCGGGTCGCACTGGCACCCCTCCACGCAGTAATGGCTGCAGTCACTTTTCAGACGGATGGCAGCGCATCGGGGCTGGCACAGGGACACGCAGCTCTCGTAGTGGCTGTTGGGGGGACAGCTGACGGCTGCAACGCAAAAAGGGGAGAAAGCAGGGAGATGCAGGTTAGCTCGATGGACAAAACTGACCTCTCTTACCGGCCTGGCAGCCGGTATCATTTTTCACTTCAGGCAGCCAGTTCTCATTTTGGCTTGTCATCTTTGCCATCCCAGCAGAAATCCTGAGTGGATGGCTCCAGTCCCAAAGGTGCTCATGCCTGGGATAAAAACTCCTGTGCCCTCAGCTTGAAAGGGGAGGTGAGGGGTGAACCTGGACTGAGCGTGTCCTGGTTCCTGGTCTTGCTGTCCCCGCTGGTGGGAGTGGTGCCTTCTAAGCCGTGACTGTGTGTAAGACAGAAGAATGGCGTATATTTAATTGTCGGTCTTGTTGGCAATGAAAATTACTTTTTATCTGATTTGCCAGAGAGTCTGGCTGCCAGAGAGACTCCCTTTCTGTGGGAGCTCCTAATTGAGCATTGCGCTGTAACCTTGTTGTCAATAGCAGGCAGCTTCGTTAGAGCAGACACGTACTCTTCTCCATGAATATGACTAATACAATTCGTGTTTAACAAGGGAAGAGTAGCTGATGCCATTAGAACTGGACACTTAACTCTTTCTGTCCCTGCTTTTGCTATGGTGGATACAGTACAAAACAACTTGAACAGAACTGATAGGCCGTAGCACGTAACGGCCGCTCCTTCCCGTGAAGCGCAAACCAGCCCTGGTGATTGCAGGGGTGATGCTTTTTCCTGCGAGACCGACGGGCCTGCCGGTGCCTGGCATGCTGCTGCACAGTGAGCGGGTTTCCTGGCACAGCAGGAGCTCCGGGCGCAATCCCACAGTGCGGCCGGTGCAATCTCGGGACTCCATTTTTAACACTTCTCAGCATTTGCCTGCTTAGGGATCAGGGACCCTCCTGGCGAGGGAGCAGCACCTCACGGACACGAAGCAGGTCGGGCAGCAGCGCAGCCCTTAGGATCCCATGTGGCCGTTCCAGCCTGGGCTAGGGCAGAGCAGGGCCGGCTCTGGCACAGAGCCAGGCAAATTGCCAGACAGACGTGTTTTCTCCTGAATGTGCAGAGACCCATCGTGTTTCGTGGCCATCACTCATTTTTCCACAGCTCCATTTCCTTTATGAATCTGTCAACAGGAGAGAGAAACTCCTGCAAATCTGCTACACTAGGAATCTCTTCCTTCTCAGGCTATTTTCTTCTCTGTCTCCTCTTCTCTATATTGTGGTTGACCATGTGATTGACTTTATTTTTCGCATCGCTCAGACTGTTCTGGATTGCTTAACTCAGGCTGCTTCCCTGCACATCACCTTGGCCTCCTGAGTCCCGCTTGGGTTCCTCTTGAGCTGTGTTTGGGATTCCTGAAGACACCCTTTACCTAACGCATCTCTGCCCCTCCCATCTCAGTCAGCTTCCTGGCAGCAAGGCACCCTTCTCATAGCCAAGAAAGGCTTGTGTCAGCAGCCCTTGCTTTCCTGCCCCATGCGATTACAGTTTAGGGTCAGGAAAAGGCTGTGGGGGGGCTGGAGATTGTCTCCTCCCGAATGAAAAGCGGGGACAAGCTTTAAATCCTTTTCACAGCATGGAGGTACTTGCATTGAAAACAGATCAACAACTGCCCTTCAGTGTCAAATGTCAAAAAGGTTTCAGCATTGTCCACGTCGCAGAAAGGTGCCTCAGGAACCCACCCCTTGATGCTGGTGGGTCAGGCGCTTGGCCTTCACATGGCAGTGGGGCACGTGGGTGGCACACAGGGAAGCTAGGCTTCCAGCCACCTGCCTTCTGGACCGACAGCGCCTACACCTGTTTCTCTCACAACTCCATCAACTGCCTTCTTATCTGACCGGGAGGTACAGGAACCCTTGCGTCCCCCTGGCACTCCAAGCTCTGGCTTTCTCCAACGTGCATGGAACAGTGCAAGAGGCGGGCTGATGAGCAAGCATCTGCTAGCACTAGACAAGGTGCTCTGCTACCTTCCTACAGAGCAATCTCTATCAGCACGCCTCGCACCTGGCTCTGGAGGGGAACCCCCCCCCCCCCCCCCCCCCCCCATAGCCCCTCTGCACCTCCTGCATCCTTTTGGGCTCGAACGCTTTAGCATCCATGTCACAGCATGCCCGATCCCTCAGCAGAAATGTGTGTCCCCTTGGCGAATGCCGCACACCTGGCCTTGCCTCCAGGTTTCGCCCCACAGTGGACAACCCCAGGAGACATGTCTAGGGAAGAAGGTCTAGAAGGCAGCACGGTACTTACAGCATGAGGTGAAGTTCCTCCAGCCAGTGATGGCAATTCCCTGGGTCTGGCATGTGCTGGCGTAATTCTGCAGCCAACTGCAGGCCGTTTGCATGGCTCCCCCGTCAATGCAGGTGTCAAAGAGGCAGTTCTTGTAGAAGAAGCTGGGGCTGATCTTGCTGTGGCACTTCGCAAAGACACCACTTTGGCTGGGGATGAGGCTGCACAGTTGCTGAGGTTTCCAGAAGCCTTCCACTTTCCCACAGGCTGGGCAGCGGTCACCACAGCCCACCTGGCAGAACGTGTCCCGCTTGACCCAGCTCTGGCCAAAGTCCGTGACACCAGCTGCCGCCAGACCACTGGAGGCCACCAGGTCATCCTCGGGGTTGCCGTTGTAGCGGCCACAGAGGCCATAGGTCAGGTTCTGGAAGCTACGTGGGATGGTGACGGAAAGGAAGGTCTTCCAGTCATATACCACCTTCAACCCAAAGTCGGTCTCAACCACAATGTGAAAGCCAAAAGCAAAAATGTTCACTTTACCCTGGCCCAGCTTCAGAGGCAGGTAGAGACGTTCGTTGTTAATCTGCGGGGAAAAAAGCAAGACCCCCAGTGAGCAGAGACAATCGGTGCTTCTGCACAAGGACGCGAATGAGGTCAGTTTGCTGCTGCTGCTGCTGAGACTGAGTCTCCACCAGCCTCCCTACAAGCTCCAAAGGGCAGTGGCCAAAAGGAAGGCCCCCTCCAAAAGCAGTGCCCCATAGCACTTTAGGGAAAAATCCCACTCCCCTTCCCCTCTAAAAAGCTCATAACCCCCAAGGAATTGTGGAATGGGAAAGTCCCAAAGACTTTTGGGAGCTGCAGCCAACATGGGTAGAAACATTCTCTCGGATGAGGATATCCTTACGCGCCCAAACCGGGGCCATGCCTTTTTCCCGAGCAAAGGGTGACCCCGCTCACCAGCACTGTGTATTTGTAGGCACGGTGGATGACTATGTTGTAATTGAAGACCTCCACTTCCACTTGTTTCACCCACAGGGCCAGGGATGGGTCCCGATCCTCGTTCTTGGCGGTGACGGTGAACGTGGGGAAAGTGTCCGATCTCTCTGACCTCGGCCGGGAGATCGTGGTGCAAAGAACCAAAGCGCAGCTGCTCTGGAAGTCAAAAGAGAAGCCATCGAAAGTCAGGTAGTGTCCATAGCCAGAAACAATGCAGGAGGCGTCGGTGCGGATGCGGCAATAGTAGAGGCCATTCTCCTCCAGGCAGTATTCGTCGTCCTTGCAGGGGACATTCTCGCAGTACACACTGTTGTCAGAGCCATTGCAGTAGCAGAGGAAGTGGCATGAGATGTCCATCCAAAAGGTCTGGTTAGTGGCCAGCTGGCGCCCCTCGAAATTGCAGCCGCACTCACTGCGGGGAACGCAGCGGGTGCCTTGGAGGGCAAAGCCGTCATCGCACTGGCAGCCTTCTGCGCAGCTGTCTGTGCAGACAGGGCCCGTCGCTAGCATTTCACAGATCTCCGTGCAGGTCATGCACTCCTCAAAATGGCTGTTCTCTGGGCAGGTGAGGGCTGGAGAGCGATCAAACACAGTGTGTGGCATTAGCGGCTCTGGCAGCCTTGGCGGAGCAGGAGGTGCGGGAACAGACAAAAGGCAGGACAAGGAGAGGTGCGACTGATTCGGAAAAGAAAGCAAGGGAGGCCCAGCCCCACCACCCTCCTGGCCACCTGCTTTGCACAATCCTCTTTATAGCCTTGTCTCCTCTCCCTCATCACCACTCCTCGCATCAAGTCCTTGCCCTGCAATGTGCCGAGTGACATCTCCTCCCACTAATTCTAAGGGGACGAGTCCAGGGCACGGCCTTTGCGTGTCGTCTAGAGCTGAAACAACGTGCCGTTCCCCCAGTTCCCCAGCGGATGCCTCTCTAAAGCCTCCGTGACAGAGACAGAGGCTACTCTGCCACCTATTATGTGCCTCCGCACTGTGAATTTTTCACATTCACTTTTGAATTATGAATGTTTTCACATCAATGGCAAGTTTACAGCGATAGCTACAAACATGCCTTCTTCAAATTATCCTCTGTTGATGGCTTGCAGTATTGTTAGAAACCATCTGTGGTTCTGTAATGCTCCTACACAGCACTGTAAAACTCCTCATGTCTCCTGAAATACAACCATGAAATTGCTTAATTGGGAAATCTGTCTCTGCAGGCAAAGGTGCCACTTAGAAAATACCTCTAGTACAAAGAGCGATGCTTTCTTGTCTCCAGGCTCAAAAACACTGCGCTCTTAATGTGGACAAGTCACCTATTTAATTCCAACCTCCAATAAGAATGGGCCCAAATGCAATACAGGACTGGGGTTTGCTATGATGCTGCTATGGCTAATGTGGGCTTGCAGCTGAAAAAAGTGAGAGACCCACTAAAGATGTGAAGAGACTTGTCCATTTCCTTTCTGCTCATCTGAATGCACGGCTCCACATGCTATACAGGAGAGTGCTTCATGCCATCACAGAAGAACGCTCTATTGGACAGCGCTCTTCAACAGCAAAACAAACCTTTGACTGACCGGTATTTACTGACTGCGAGCCTTAGGTTCGGTTCCCCAGGGTTGTATTGCGCGAGAAGCGGGAGACAGCCGTAGGGCAGTGTGGCACAAAAAAATGGCACAGTGACCCCTTCCACATCTTCATTGTGCCCCGGTATCTCCATAATGGAGAGCTTTGTTCAATTTGAGATTGTTCCAGTCTGTCAATATTGCAAATGCTCTCACAGATGCGTTTAGGTGCCCTGTTCCCAAATTACGGCCCTGCTGTGCTGGCCACGGTATGGACGCTGAAGGAGGAGATGGAATTTGCTCCCTAGTGCTTGCAATTCTCCACAAAGAGGAATGCTGCTTATTTTGGTTCAAAATAACTGCCTTAGTTAACTTGCTGCATGCACTCATAGAACTTGCAAGCCAGAGCAACCTCCTTGATTATCTACTTCAACCTTCTGCACAACCAAAAGCACGTCCGCTAGATTTTCCCATGCCTGAGCCTCTGTCACAGTACAATGAGAGCAAGTAAATTGCTCCAGATCACGAGTCTTGAGGCACCTCTTCTACTCCCCATTTCTGTAATTTTGGACACCTACTACTTTCGTAAATGCTGGATTTCTAGTGAGCTTCTGACATCCCTTTGGCTCACAGCCACCCTTCCAAACACCCTTTCTATTACATTCTTTCGAACCTCAGACGCAGAGGAACAGCAGCAAGGGGCACATGTCAGTGACGAGAGTGGGGAGAAGAAAGGCCATAACTTCTGTCATCCCATAGGAAGGGCGGGTTAACAGTTGTAGGCCAAAAAGCCCCTCTGGAAAAGACACCACCTGAGGTCCTCTGTGTGCGCTCCAATCCCCCCAAAAGGTACTTAAAGACTTTTCCAGACTCACGACAAAAGCTGTAGCTCCTCCACTGGCCGATGTCCACCTCCGCGTTCTTGCAGGCGCTGGCGTAGCGAGCAACAGAGTCGCAGAGCTCTGACTGGTTGCCGCCGCTCTGGCAGAGACGGAAGAGGCACGTTCTGTAGTAGGCTGAGACGTTGACCACGCTGTGGCACTCCAGGAAGGAGCTGTTGGTGGGGTCATTGATGATGCCGCATTTGGAGCGGCTCCTATAGTACTTCAGCAACTCTGAGTCATTGCTGCAGGCCTTGAGGAGGTCCCCGCACTCCCCGTTGCAGATCTCGTCGAACGTGGTCCAGCTCTCCAAGAAGAGCTCTAGGTTGTCCGTGCACTTGCCCTTAGGGAGGCAGAACTCGTCGCTGCTGTTGTCATTGAAGAAGCCACACAGACCTCCGGTACAGTTGAAGTAGGCGGTGGAGAGGCGTATCTCCAGGAGGCCCGAATCGTAGTATTGGATGCTCAGGAGTCCCTCTGACTCCATCACAGTGCCGTTTTTGCTACGGTAAATTTCCATTCGGCCAGAAGGGTGGGAATACGGCAGCTCCACATCGTAGCCATTCACCTGCAAAGAACAAGCATATGGAGCTGCTTCCAAAAGGGCAACATGAATTTACATGGCCATTCCCAGCCATCAGCAAAACCATACTGAGAATGTGAAACGCTTCCCGACCCGGGCTGGACTGTCAAAGACTGGGCACCGCCTTTGGCTGTGAGGAAGCAACTGCTTCCCTGCATTTTGTCCCACAAACAGGATGATTTCAAGGAAGAAAACACTGGAGAAGGGAAAACAGCAATGTTAGAAAAGCCTCCAAAGTCAACTCAGCAAGCGAACGGGAGTAACAGTTGTATTCCAACAACTTCAGAGTCACCTAAAGAGCCTCAAAGCAGCAGCGATGCATACGGGCTCCCTCCAAGTGCCACCATAGCCCTCATGTCTCAAACACTCAGGACAGAGCTCTGCTGGATCTGTCCTCCAGCCTGCTGCCGCCCACACATGGGACGCACACTGTCCAGCAGCTCGGACTAGCAGCGAGGTCGTGGACAGAAGCGACTCTACGTCCAGTCTACAGTGGAGGATGCCAGGGCATTTGCTTCCTCCCCTGCTGACATGGCCATGGTTGGATGGCTCCTTCAGGAGGCTGGACAGCTGCTACTCAGTCCCTGCCTGACAAAGCCTGGAGCTGGGCTTTGGTCAGTCTTGCCGAGCCCTTTCTGCATCTTGCACCATCATTCACTGCTAATAAACGTTTGGCAAATGAGGCTTAGCTGGGAATTTTAGCAATGGCTCTAGTTAATGATGCATGAGACAGAATACCATCCCACGATCTCTCCTGTGGCCATCCTGGCTCAGCAGGACAAAGAAGAGCAAACCCTCACTGGTAAAACTGAGAGCAAGCAGATAGGGTCGGGATTCAAAGGGCCTGGAGATGTTCCAGTAGGGATATTCCTTCTTTTCCACTGCCATTTTGCTGACTGTAACAGCAGTATAACCACCAGCTCTGCAGGAAACTGTATTTTTAATTAAAAACCAAGGGCTTGCAGTATACAACTTGCAGACTTATTTCCTGCATGCCCCTAGTCTTGGCAGTCGTTCAGAGTGGAGCGTTCCTGTGGGCTGACAGCTCACATCCTCACCTTTCCCATACTGTGAGGACAGCACCCGAACGAGCACTTGATAAATTCCAGCTCTTCTCCGCACAGGGACATCAGTATTTGTTGCTCTGTGGCCAAGCCCCCCACCAACTGTCTTCACTGACATGACACTAAACAGATCAGGCCTTCAGAGACAGAGGAGGGCAGAGCACAGCTGGGAGAGAGTTGGGAGCTGAGTATATGCTCGGCTGTATATGCTGAGTATATCCTCACGGTCACCTTTGAGGTCAGGAGGCCAAGACAGAATGTCCTGGGAGCATGAACTGCTCTGACAGAGAAGAGGGGTGTCTCAGAAAGGACTTCACAAAGCAACACGAGCCCGCACCTCTCACCCTCGCCCTGGGGGTGGCCACCCTGATGGTGGCTGCATTACCTTGATCTCTGATGGGCTAGTGCCTCCAATCTTGACCTCTTGGTTGACAGCCTGGATCCTCACGGTGCGGAGCCCATTAGGAGTAGACCCCGGCTTCTTTTGGCTGATGTCTACTTCAATGAAGCCTGGTCTCTCCGGGCATGTTTTCAGCAGCGTGTAGGAGTGTTCCAGCGGATAGAGGAACGCTACGCCATCAAATGTCTGCAGCACCTGATTCTGCCCCACGAAACACACGGTCTCCCGCTTGGGATAGCAGCCCTGGTAGCCGTTTTCAATAGCACAGATCTCACCTTCCTGGCAGGTTGTATTAAAGCACCTAGCCTCCCCGTCGTCCTCACACTGGCACTCCACCGTGCAGTCCGCGGCAGCCCAGAAAGACTCCCCGACAGCGTAGTATCGGCCATCAACGTCACAGCCGCACTTCTGCACAGGGACGCACCGGTCCGTGCTGAGCACGTGGCCTTCGTCACACTCGCAGCCCTCAGTGCACGGGGACCTGCAGGCCAGCGGGGCAGCGAGGTCCGAGCATGTGGCTGGGCAGCTGCTAGTGCAGACAGAATAGTGGCTGAACTCCGGGCACTGCATGGCTGTCGCTGGAAGGGCGGAGAGGGGACAGAAACAGCAGGAGGACAATATGACTGCATGATTCAGGGCCAGATACCTCTTCCCCTCTGGCCTACCTCAGCAGCACCACAAAGTGACCCATAGCCCCACTTTTCTAAAGTTTTGCATTTCTCTCTTGCTTTTCCTCATGCACCTCCCCAGCCGTTCCTCTTGTGCGTGCAAAGGCTCTTCCAAAGCAGCCCTGTAGCGGTTGACCCACCTGCAGTGATTTGATGCCATAAGCGCAAGGACAACCGCAGCCGATCAGCAGAGCCAGCTTCAAAGAAAAGACCAGCGATCGGTACATTAGCCAGCCTCGTGTTTCATCCAGCCTCCGGCTCTTACTGCAGCGGCCAAGTGCCCCTGGAGCAAGGTGGAGCTCTCTTCTCTGCGTCTGACTCTCGCTGCCCTTCCCTGAGCGCGAAAGCCTCACGTTGCAGAGAGGAGGGACTGATCGGCTGCTGCCTGGCTCCCTCCACCTCAGGCAACTCCCTCCCCTGACTTTTTCCCCCGCCTCATCTCACACCCTGCTCCTGCTCCGCCGGAAGCTTCTGACAGGCCCTCGAAACCGCTTCCGTCCTCCAGAGGGAAAAGCTTCCAGCACGGGCGTGCAAACGCTTACCGCATCCTGTCGGGGTGCGCCAGTCTCCCACCGGGATGCCCAGGGCCTGGCACACCAGGGCATATGCTTGGATGGCTTGACACAGGCCGGTGCCGTTATCTCGGGAGCCACAGAGGTCGTAGACGCAGCTGTGCACAAAGGCCGTGGGGTCCACAACAGCACTGCACTCCCACAGTGGGCCACTGCTCTTGTTGATGAAGCCGCAGTATTCAGAAGTGAAATACAGAGACTCCATGGTGGCATCGCAGAGGCTGCAGTTTTCCAAGCAGCCCGGGGAGCATTTCCGCTCTGGGTGGTACACACGCCAGCTCTCTCCCAGGTCCAGCACGGATGCCGCTAATCGCCCATCTGAGCGAAGGGTATCGTCTTCGGGGTCTTTATTGTAATTTCCACAGAGACCGCATGTCGCGTTGATGTATGTGCCCGGGACAGAGATGGAAGCATAGTGTTGTCCATCGTAGGTCACTAAAAGGCCAAAATCAGTCTCTAAGGCTGTAGAGAAGCCGCTTTGGTAAACTTTGATTGCGCCCAGCTTCAGGGAGATGGGTAAGGACATCACCAAGCCATCAACCTGTGGGAACAAATCAAGACAACTGAAACATTGTATGAAACAGTAGAGGCCTTGCACTATGACACAGACAGGAGCCATACAACTCCATTGCCTGCCATTGCAGGTATGGGTACATAGAGAAAGCCAGTTGCAGGTAAGCGTGGGGCGTTTTCCGACCCGTGGCTTTGCAGCCACGCGGACTGCCTGTTGACCGTGCCCATCCCTAAAGGGACACACAGGGCCCAGAAGCGCAATCCGTCGCTCCCTGGGCTGCAATTGCAGCCTCGCTGTCGGTGTAGACATTGATTCAGACCCAGAAGGTGGCCTCAGGGCTGTCCCCAGGAGGCAGCGCGGCTGTTGCCTTTGGCTCAGTCACGACTGAGTCAGCTTGCACCCCAAAGGAGCGGACCCAAAACATTTTTCTCTTTTGCTAGGGCTCTTACCTTTACTTTCCCAAAGCTGCCCTTGGGGAGGACAATCTTGTGCGAATAAGCCTCCACAAAGATATCCTTCAGCCAGGAGACGGAGGAGCCGCCTTGGTTCTCGTTCTTAGCCTCCACGTTGAAGTAGGGCAGCTTGGACCCTGGCCAGCACTGCCTGGCAAGGAGGTAGGAGCAGGAACCCTGGAAGTGAAAGAGGAAGCCGTCGAACGTGTGGTAGTGCGGATCTCCGAACACCACGCAGGTGCTGCTCTCCACGGGCACGCACTGGAAGAACTTGATCTTCGGCTCACACGCTTCAAAGGGGCCGCAAGCCACCTCCTGGCAGAAGATCTCGTTGTTGAAGTCCAGGCAGCGGCACTTGGTGGTGCAGTTTGCATTGTCCCAGAAGATCTCTCCTTGACGGAGAAACTGCCCTGAAAAAAGAAAAACAAACAAACCATGTCGCGTTAGTTTTCTGAACAGAGGACCCATCACCAGAGGTTAGAGGCACATTCAAACTGAATGCATCATCCCCAAGAGAGGTCAACTAGCCTTACAATCGAGCCTGCCACCTAAGCATCTTCATTCAGTGCTTCTCATGGACTTACTTTATGCAGACTCATGGCAGGAACCTTTTAGCAAAATGCTACAATTGCAGTTTTAAGCATGCGCTCAGTGCCATTCGAGTCAAAAACGCATCCTCCCTGCGTTGGAAGTTCAGCAGATGGTTTGCGTGCTTTCATGAATCAGTCTGTGCAGCACCATGCAGGCTGGGAAACTGTTAGGCTACTCCTTCCATTTTTGACTCATGCCACCCTAATTCTAATTCATTCATCCAGCAAATAAGAACCCTTCACGTTATTTTCTCAAAGGGGAACTTAACTGCAAGCACATGCACTTTGGAGGCCATTCCCACGGCTGCGACTGTAATTACATTGTCCTACAACTTTGTTGCTATATCTAGAATTACTCAATTCACATAACTTCGCAGGTCACAGAGCAATCCTGCTGTAAACGGCCCAGAGTAAATTTATTTCCATTCTAAAAAACGGTCATATTAATTCTGAAACTAAAGAGCTGTTGATAAGTAACTTCCATGCCATACATCAGAGATGACAAAAACCACTGAGTTACCAAACAGCGACAGAATGAGCTAACTTGTAATACAGCTGTATTATAGCAGGAGTCTTAGGTTTTTCTAGCGAGAGATGTGAGAAGCAGAGAGAAGATCGGAGAACTAAGAATGGCAAACGCCCATGAGAATTTTCCTCGTCTCCATATGGTTGTCTTTCACACTCTTCATTCACATGGTTTTCACTTTGCACGCTGCCTGCTCTACCTCTCTTGAACTTTTTGGTCTCCCCCCGCAAAAAAGCTACTTTCTGCTGTATTTCCTCTTGGCAAGACCCGGTCGCAACAGCTGCCAAGCCAGCTGTCCCAGCGTGTGTGATTTCGGCAATCAAGCGGTGTTAAGGCGCAGCAAGCCTCCTCACCTCTGACGCCTCACACCGCTTCTCCTCTCGTGGTGCTGACGAGCTGTCCGCTGTGAATTACAAATCCAGGCGCGGCATTTACGTACGCTGCCCTCCTCACCTTGAAGGTAAAGCGCAGGTTTCAGTCGCTTTGCAAAGTCTGGCCTTGCTTTCTGGAGTCAGCTGCTGGATGTTGCTAGATCAGTTTGACCTCATGCAGGGGCTGCACAAGCCTTTGAGTCTAGCAGGGCGTTTTCGGTACAAGCCTAAACCTGACTATAAAGAAGCCGCATGCCTCAGAGCGGTGATGCCTCCAGCTTACAGCAGCAAGTGACAATTCACTCTTGTTAGAAAGGTTCCAGGAGCAAAGCAGTCACTCCAGACAGCTTTATCTGTCAAACGGTAATGCAATAATCTCTATGCAGCAAAGTCCCTTTGCTATCACCGCATGCCTTTAATCCCTTTATATCTCTGCACTGTCAGTGACACATGCACAGACGCTGTAATTGGCGCAGGAGCATTGAATTTATCCTGCACACACACAGAGAAGCTGCGATTCCCGTTGCCGAAACAAGGGAAATGAAACCAGATGGTCAGTTGTTTCGTTCTGGTGGCAAGACCAAGAAAACAGCCATCTCTGTGCCTTTACTGTCACTGCCATCAGCATCACAGAAGGGACTCGAGACTACGGCTAGGTGGCATTCCGTTCCCACAAATCACTGGAAGCCTGACTTGCCTTGCTCTCACTTCCGGGCAGCACAAACGGAGGCTTTCAGCAGCGCTTTGCTAATAAAATCTCAGGAAGGAAACAAGCTTAGCACCGATGACAGTTTTGCTTGCTGACGTTTGAAAGCAACGCAGGCAGCGGAGAAGACTCCTGATTCTTTACGGAGCCCTTTCAGGTTTCACAGAGCTGCGGAGTCAGGCCTCAACCGCCCCAGGAACTTGCTGCAAACGTGCTCAGGGCTAGCTCTGTCTCCAGCAATCCAGTCTGTGAGAGCGCCTCCATCCTCTTTGGAGGGGGAAAGGTGGCCAGCAGGAAAAGCGAACTGCAGCTGGCGATGGCTTTCCCACGTATGCTGCCAAGGCTGCTCTTCCATGAAACAAAACATGCCCTTTTTGAGATGAATGCCAGAACTCTCTGGCCGTTCTTAAAAACATTAGCCTTTCACAGAGGGCATACTGACAGCTGTCCCTGGAAGACCGGGGTGGCTCTGCCTGGGCCATGCAGCAAATCAGAGACGTGCACAGGACCTAAATCCCAGTCACATAATTCTGTCTCCCCAACTGCAACTAAAGGGGAGCTTTTAACTCTAGATTTCCCTAGCAAAAATACAAATTGCGCAGCAGCCCAGAGCAGTCACGCATGTCACTATCAGCTTTGCAGCTGCATTATGTTTTACTCCTCTGCACTACAAAACTTTTTAAAAGCCAAAGACATTTCTCCATTACCTCTCAGGCTGCAGCCACGGGCTGGATCTATTTCTCTGCCATCTATTTTGAAAGCCCAGCGCCCAGGGACGTTAACGTTGGTTGTGTCTTCAATATTGACTATGTCTGGTGTTCTGGAACCTGGGAGGCTGAAGAAATTGGTGATATTTCCTCCATTGAATCCAGCCTAAAATAGACAGAGATCAAAATTCATCACCCATCCTGGCTGGAGGAAAACAACATTGCATTTCTGGTCTTCACTCCTGCTCAGCCCCGAAATAATTACTGAGCAGTTTTTATTTATTTTAAAAGTGTGTTTTCAGAAATTCCAGTTTTCAGATAGTCTGGGTGAGAGTGAGAAGTTCAGCATGTACTACAAGGATGATGTATTTGTGTGTATATGTATGCATATATGCATATGCACATATGTATGTATTTATATAAACATAGAGAGAGATGTGCACATAGATACATGTATTACATGGCCAAGAGAGTGAGAAAATGACAGAGCAAGGCTCCACTTCCACTACTCTGCAGACCCTTCCGCATCAGTCCTGGAGGCCGCCTGTGAGCCCTACAGACCTGAAGACGTGATGCAGGACTATCTAAGATATAGGACTTTATGCTAGAGCGGGTCAGAGAATGGCCACAGACTTAGCGCAGATTAAATCAAACAACACCTAGTTTATGCCTCTCCGCTTGCATCGTCGAAACGGGGAAGGCTTGGAAACAAACCCGAAAGCTATGTCTGGGCTGCTTGTACAGCACAAGCTCAAAATATGTGCCTGGGCCCAAAGCTGTCTACCCCCAAAATAGACTGGATGCACATCCAGTGACTGGGCACAGGTGAGCTTCAGAGCCCAGCGGGGAAGACAGCTTTAACTCCTGAAGCCCCTAGGTGTACCTAAGTGGTGAGCCTCTTCCCCCTTAGGCAGAAGGGCCAGCCACAGCACAGCTGCCGACACCAAATTTACGGGAGCTTACCCCACGGTGCCTCACGGCACACTCGTGAGGCCAGCGCAGGGGACACTGAGGGAACGAACAACATGAGCGAGCAGAGCTACGAGAGTAAAGCCACGGCAGCCGTCCGAGCACTCTCAGGCCGGCGTTTGGCCAGGCAGCGCAGGCATAACCGATGGAGACGGGGATGCTGGGGCGAGAGTTGTGGGTTGTGGAATCTCCATCCTTAGAGATATTCAAAAGCCATCTGGACACAGTCCTGGGCAATGTGCTCTAGGTGACCCTGTTTGAGCAGGGGGGTTGGATTAGATGATCTCCAGAGGTCCCTTCCAACCTCAACCGATCTGTGATTCTGTGAGAGCCTCACCTGGGCCATCACACCACCAAGTCCCGTCAGGGGATCCCCTCCGCTGGCTGTCCCTGTAGTCCAGCTGATTTCGTGGTAGTTAAATATGGCAAAGGAAGACACGCCATCTGTGATCAGGACAGCTTGAAAAGTGTTCACCTGTTGAAAACACAAGTAGAGTCACAAGATGAGATTGCTCTTTTCAGATGGTTTATCTGCCCTTCTTTCCCATTCCTCACTCGCCTAGGCGAGAGACAAGAGCCTCTCAGGGAAAAGCAGAAAATGCCAAACATGAGCTGGCATACACTCTCCCTCCTGATGTGACTCCAGCTGCTCCCATCCCAACCGTTCCTTCTGTCTGGGAAGCAACAATTGCACTTCTGATCCGATTTAACACCAATAGATGGCAGTATGAGAATAAGCTCATGCAAAAAAAGCAAGTGCCGGGATTTGGACTGTTACAACCTGTTATCTTCCTGTTACCAGATCTTAGCTTTTCTCATCACCAAGTTACCTTACCGGGTTCCCTTCCGCGTTCATATTCTACAGCACTGTTAACGGCAGCGTACATCAAAGTCAACCAAGTCTTGTACCTAAGGAAATGCCACTGTGCTTAGTTACCAGGTCCCATAGCTACCTGCCAAATCTGCTGATCAAATTCCTCCTTTCACATGAAATGATTCTGCATTTCCAGCCACAAATATTTCAGATAAATTCACTCAGCTGCAAACCCAGTCCTCACGCAAAAAAGATGTCCTTTGCCAGCTGGTGAAGGCAACAGAGAACTAAGATCTTAACTTCTACAATCGTGCAGAAAGGCAAAAGACTCTATGCCCTTACTTAAAGTAATGCCCCTGTGCATCTAAATTTGGTTGCAGAATTCAACACTGGGAGTGTAACGGATTGATTGCAAGTCAATAATTCATCTTAGCTATCTGCATTTTCCTTCCTGTTGCTTCCCGTCCTAAACTGTTATGCACCAGGCCTGGGCCTTGGTAAACGACCAGTCCTTCCACCTCTGCGGAAGCAGAATTTCAGTGAAGGACAAAGCACATGTTGCCCCTCTTCTACTTCTTTGAAAATAACATGATGAGCCTAGTTAACTGGCCTCTACAAACCAGAAAACGGTATAGTTCACAGCAAGGGAAGGGGAAAAAGCAATCTAATGCAGAGCTACCATTTTCACTCATCCATACTGTCTCCTTTTCCTTTGGTTCTATCTCTTACATCTGTTTTTTTTCCTCTACCTCTTCAGCACATCTGTTGACTTTTGCCAAGTCTTTTTCCAATACTGTGAGATCTGAAGGCATTAAAACCATAATGGCTTTAGCACTACCTTGGAGAAGTAGTATGCCGTGCCTTTAGAAATGTGGAAATGACAGAAAATATCTCCCATCAGGCCCGTTTTCCAGAAAACCAAACTAACACCCAAGAGGTGGCCTGCTGTTGGGTT